GTGAATGGGATTTTGGTGCCAGAAATCTTGAGGACTGAAATTAACCACTTTCGTTTTTGTATGATATTTGACATTCCGTCCTAGTTTTTGAAGTTGTTCATTTTTAGTAGACCATTCACAAGTTTTGCTTACAATAAGATACCTGATGATCGAGTTGGAGCTATTATCAATCTGAAATATTCAACTTAACAACATAGGAAAATCAGTTCTTCAAGAAGAAAGAATGCCAATGCACACAAACTCATAATCTTACTTTATATATAGGTATAATATATGAGCAAGACTTCTTACACTTGCCACTTTTGACATTCCCAGTATTTCTAAAATGAGTTGGACAAGGATGATAGATGAAACAAACAACAAGATCCCTTTTAAGAGACTACATATTACTACTAGCAAAAGGGTTGGAAATAGAAGATTATAAGATACCCCATGGTATTCACAAAATTATAAGAAACAGCTTTGAGGTCACTGAATTACTTTACCCAACAAGCTGCTTGCTGAAGGCGAGCTATGAGCGCTTAACCAAGGATCTTGCACTGAAACAGGAGAACTATCTTTCACCTCATCAAATGAAGTCAGACAAGATTTTTCACTCCCTCTAGGTGGAAAAATCAATTTTCTACTCCCTCTCCTTGCACTCTTGACTGTCATACAAGATTTTTCACTTTCGTCATCTGATGAACAAGAGGAAGTAATTGGTGATGCCATGTACATATTTTGAACCCAGGAACTTAGTCTGAGCTGCTCAAGCTCTTCTGCAACTTCCATCATGGTTGGCCTCATGTCCCTGTGGAAAGCAAGGCATCTAAATGCTAACTCGGCCACACTGTGAATAGATGAGAGTGTCCAAGCATCCTTATGTGGATCAAGGCATGGGTCTATTATCTCATCGACACACCCTCTTCCAATCCTATCAATGGCTAGTGCAGCCAAATTGACGTCACTGTGAGGGCGGGAGAAATCAACCACTTTCATTGCAGTTATAATCTCTACCAGAACAACACCAAAACTATAGACATCACTTTTATCTGAAAGATGGAAGTACTGATGGTATTGGGGATCAAGATACCCAGGAGTTCCTTGTGGAGCTGTTGAGATGTGGGAATCTGTCATGCCATTGCCCAGCCTGGAAAGACCAAAGTCAGCCACCTTAGATTTATAGTTGAAATCCAAGAGTATGTTGCTGGACTTTATGTCTCGGTGGTAAATTGGTGGATTCATAACAGAATGAAGATAGGCTATAGCTTTGGCAGTTTCAGTAGCAATAGTGAGTCTTATTGTCCATGGCAATCCTTGGCCTCTCTCCCTTTGGAGATGCTGGGATAAAGTTCCATTAGGCATAAATTCATACAGAAGGATTGGTTCACCCTCCTCAATGCAGCAACCCAACAGGCGGACAAGATTAGGGTGACTGACAGAGGAAAGGAGCTTAATCTCATTCATCACCTGGTCAATGCTATCTGGATCTCTATATCTGAACCTTTTTATGGCAACCCAATCATCACTCTGGAGTTTACCTGCATAAACTGTACCATAGGCTCCAGTTCCAAGTCTTTGTTTCTCAGAGAAGCAATTAGTAGCTCTTTCCATTTCTTTGTAAGGATAAAATGGAACACTTGAGTTGCCTGCAGCTTCACACAGGAGGCGCTTTGCCCTCATCTGATTTCTGGAGGAATTAGAGCACCGTCTTATAAAGTAACAAATAAGCACCAGACCAGCCATTGATAAAGCTCCAGCAATAAGCCCTGAGAACAGCAGAATGGTTAAGATTATGAGTTTTTCAATGCAGTGGATTCCCATGATCAATTAAAACAGTGTACTGAAATAGAAAGTAGCTTGAAGAGGTTTGAAACAATAGTTCAATCAAATATATTAAGTCAGGAAGTGTCAGAAAAATTAACAAACACAAATACAGTGCAATTTATCTTTATGTTGCAGACAATTTCTTCCACAACTTATTATAATGGCAGCTACTTGGCTCAGCAAATATAGGCTACAAGTTTGACTATGACTCCTTCCCAAAGTACCTCCAACAAGGATGCCAACTCTTATAGTCCCTCCACATTTGCCAGACACGAATTTTGTAGCACCGCAGCTAGAATTTGTTTTGGGTAAAAAGCTAGGTTCAGGTGATGCTGCATTTGAAAAAGAAACAGAAGAAGAAAAATAAGGATCAGCAAAATCTAATCAAAGAGGGAGAAAGGAGGGAAGGATTAGCAAACTTATCCAATTTCAAAGCTATTCCCAATTGCAACATTAAAGGATCAAGCATTTAGGTCCATTCAACTTGCAAGTTTCAGATTGAAAATTCTGTCTCTTCTTTTATATATAAAATTTTCTACTCAGAGAGTGTTACTCTTTCAGTAGAAAATAACATGTATCAGAACCGTGCTTATTTCACCACACATTCGACAAAAAAGTAACCAAGTATCTCGTAAACTACTTACATCAGTGCATTCACAAAATAAATACTTTGTAAACCAGATGTTTTTATATAGAACGTTGTTTTTACTCATAAAATCATTGGTGCCACTCCATTTGACTGGCAGCACAGAGATGTTTAATTCTAGTTGCAGTCTTAAAATTCTATCCTTTCTTTCAAGGCAGTGTTGTCAACACTAAAACAAACACGAGTCACAATGAAAGCCCATGCAAAATCAGCACATCTAAAAAGGCCTATTAAAGCATTCTGCTCTAAAAGAAATGAGTTTGAAACTGACGCTTAAAATTTGTCATATTGAGGATTTCTTGAACTTAAGCACAAACCAAACTCTAAGACCTGCGTACGGACAATCAAAAGAATAAATAAACAGCTTGCTCACCTCGCCGGCAACCAAGGCCGTGGAGGAACCCATCTCCGACAAACCCTTCTTTGCAAGCGCACCGCACTCCAAACTTCCCATAACCAAGTCCAACCTTCGTACAAGTAGCATTTTCATGGCATGGACTAGCGCAATTTCCTTCAATCCACCATTCTAATTTAACCTTCTCCTGGGAACCTACGGACGCATTTTTGTAATCGGCCGCAATTGATGAGTACAAGAACCCACACTTCGTTGCATTCAACTGTTGCTTGGTCAATATATGCCCACTATTGTTATCATGCTTCGGAAAACAAGTTATATTATCGCCCCCACCACCGCACCCGTGATCTAAAAGACGCGGCTTCATCTCGCAACCGCTCCCCGAGTCGTTGCAGTTTTGGAGGAGGATGCTGTTCCTCCACGACGGCGCGTAGTTATTCCCAAACAGAGAGTAGATTGACAGAATCGAACGGTTGCATTTGGCGGGAAGGTAGACCAGGATGCCATCGGCGGTTACAGTATCTACCCTGAAATCCCCTATTCTCACGGTGTCGGTGCAGTTGAGCTGGATCGGGTCTCCGGAGGAAAACCCGAACGGGTACTGTACTTTCATTGAGAAATAACCGACCCCGCACGTCGTCGACGAATTATTCGATCCTGCACAACAGGCTACGCGCAGTAGCGAAATAGTGATACCCAGAATCAAGCTCGCCTGAAACAGAACCATATCGGACTTTCCTCAAAGAAAACAGAGTAAACATCAGCTTCCTTCCTGAAACAAAGAGACAGGGTGAGAGAGTGAATATTGCAGTGAATAGAGAGTTGAAATTGAGGAAAGGAGTAATTGAGGAGTTAAAGCAGGGCATTTGATGCCGTTGGGACGCCATCTATCTACATAAATGCTCACAGAAGAAAGGTCAATTTCTAGCAAACGGGAAAATTAATTCTAATTTTCTCTGGTTCCAAACACCCAAAAAAAAAAAAAAAGGGTTCGATTTGGTAAGATAATTATGATCGCTTTTTCTAGCTTACCTCTGAACCTCTTCAATGGCCGCAACAGCCCGACTCCGCAGTTTCCAGAACCCCCCACCTTCCGTCTATCGGAAATCCAATAAAATTCAACTAAACCTTCTTTAATTTCTTGGAATTTGGTTTGAATTTTCTTTTGAGAAGAAAAATGCAGGCTAATGAGGAATGAGAAATCTTCTGCGAAATTTCATTTCATGAGGGGGGCAATGACAGTTCTGGGTGATTATGAAATGACTGGTTTACCCTTGTGATTCCGGAATATATTGCTTTTAGACGAAAATGCCCCTGGATTCAAAGGGAATAATGATATTACAGTCAGCACGCAATTATAGACGCAGGTTGACTAAGAAGAAAAAGTTTGTGAGTGGACGGCATCTAACCACCGCTACCACTTCTTTTCTTTTTCCAAATATTATCGTTGTAATATCAAATAATGTTTTATTTTTTATTTTTTTATATTTGTTTTATAATAAAAAAATAATTTTTTTCATGTTAAAATAGTTTAATTTTTAAAAAATTATTATTAAATTATATTTTTTTGAACAAATTATCAAGGACGAGCTCGAAATCCGTTCATAAAAAAAGAATAATGCACTTTACGTTGGTAAGTTACCAGTTAACCTTTTGAGTAAGATGTAATTATTATTAAATTATTTAAATAATTAATAATATAAAAAATATGTAATTTTATAATATAATATTTTATTTTATAATTAA